TTTGCATAATCAGAAAGGGAAAATAAGCAGGGAGGGACTAGATTTCCAGAAACTCTACAAGGATGAAGAAGCAGAGTAGAAGCTCAATGGAGAGCACTGAGGATTGAGTGAACATCCCCTGCACCTCAACTAAAGGATTACAGAATGAGTAAAACATCATCCTTTCTTACGGTTCAAAAAACCCAATTTTTTCAAACCTTTTCTTCCACCCCACAAGGGGAAAATTTCTGCATACTTCTATATATTTATGGATTCAGTCTTAATTTCTTATTGGATTGTTTCTGCCCCACAAGGGGAAATTTCTGCATACTTCTGTATATCTATGAATTCAGTCTTAATTTCTTATTGGATTGTTTCTTATTTACAAGTCTACGTTCTGCCAGTGCCAGAAAAGGTACACTAGACAGATGCTATACATGGAGGACACCATCACTCTGCCAGTGCCAGAAAAGGTACACTGGACAGATGCTATACATGGAGGACACCATCACCTAAAAAAGGCCCAGCTGATACAGAAGACACACGCAAAAGAAAGCTTCATTCATTTTGTCTTAAATTGATGGATGCAGCACAACAACTTCTTTTAGTGTACTCAACATTCAGTATTATTCAAACAGAATACGGACAGGATAAATAGCTTAAGTAAATGGCATTAAGGAAGAAAGTTGAAAGTTCTGTGAAGGGTTTTAACAGTAAGAGCTTTACTGCCCGAGAGCCCCTGGTTTCCAGTTCTTCGATCTAATGAAGCAATAAATCAGACTGAAGGTGGGGGGGAACATCCGTTTAACATTGATAGAGATGTTTAGGTGTGGGAGAGATCTCCTGTAGCAGCTCTCTGCCTAACACTATTTTCAATTTAACTTGCCTCTCTGCTTGACTTTGGTTGTATTTGTTTGGGTTTTTTTTCACACTAGTAAACAACAGTTTATTTTGATCATATTCCTCCCCCTGGAAGGGAATCCTATACTAATTAATTCATCTCTCTCCCTTTAAAATAAAGAAAGCAATGAGGAAAAAAGCCCCACATTTATGGCCCACAGAACATTCATAGCAAAGTAGAAATAATCCAAATGCACAATCCCTTTTCTAACTACTTTTATTTTGAGGAGTGCAGGGAATAAATGGGCTTAGAGTTTTTATGGTTTCACAGAAGCCTTTTAAGCTTTCAATCACCTGGTAAAACATGACCACCTTTTTACAGGGTTATTCAGTGAATCACATTTAAGCCCTAATACGCAGAGAGGACACCCAGAACATGTCTCCTCTTCAGTAACATAAATCAGAAATAAAAACATTTCCCTGCTAGAGGGAATGGAAGAAACTACCACCCAGAGCCAACACATGCGGAACTGCTCCGTTAGGACCTGCCCTTGTTTATTCCCCCCCGATTTAATGGTTTGGCTGGCAAGTTAATATGCTGAGGAGGTCATCTCCAAGGTGTGAATCCACCCAGAGACATTATCCTGGGCACTGAAAAGCAGTCTCAAAAGAAAACATTCACATTTTTTTCTGTGGAGTCAGCAGCAAAGTGTCCAGGCATCTACATAAACAGCTTCACATAATTGCATAAACTGAGGAACGAGGAGGAGACAAATTCTCAAGATGTCTGTCCAGAAAATTCATGCCTCAGTAACCTAGTTGGCTTTTTGTTTTTGGTTGTTAATTAAAGAATAGGAAGGGTATACATTTCTAAAAATAGCTTTTTTTGAACACTGCAGGCCTCTTACAAGAAATTTCCAGAAACTAGGAGCAGGAACGTTCCATAAATCGCAGTTTCTCTCTATAAATGAAATATTTCCTTCAAAGAAAGGCGCCATGGTTTCAGGCACATGCTCCTTCTCTACTTCTACACCACTGAGTCTTCAGTGTGAAGTCTCCATGAAGTTCCTTATTAATAATATCTCTCACCTGGCAAATTCAACCAGTCCAGACTCATTAGACAGCCTCGGGATTATCCAGCAGTAAACCTAGATATTTTGAGATTTTTGCTTTGCTTGGCTTTATCTAAAGATTACAAAAATAAAGGAGATGGTACTTCCAGGCTGCTTTATTGATTTCCCAGTAAGAGCTAGCAGAGCAGGGCATTTCTTGTTGTGATCCCACAGTCTGATCTGCATGCATAGCATCCCCTTGAAGTGAGTAAGGCTTCACAAAGGAGCAGCTCTATGAGCAGTTCCTTACTGCAAGGCAGTCACTGACAAAAAACAGCAAAAAAAAAAAGTGAGTTTCTCTAGTATCTGTTTTAAAATTCAGGACACTTGCTCTCCACAAGTTGCCATGAAAGACAAGAATGCTCAGCAGCAGACAGCGATCCCTATCTTGTCATTATTTCAGCTATATAGGAAAATAAGCATCTCTGAAATTAAGGGGAGTGTTTCAAGTATGGACAATGCCTGTAATGGAAGAAAAATAGGAGAATATTTGGAAAAAACGAATGCTGAAGAATCTTAAAAATTGAGCAACACTTGACAGCTCCACCACTGTTAGAAATTCTTCTTAAAGATTAATACACCACACAGCCTAAAGGGGTTATAGGAAAAAGCCAGCTCCTTTGCAGTTCTAGGAAGCCAGTCTATGAATAAACAGACTGAGTTTATGTATCCTGTTCTATATATGCTATGGGTAAAAGCTTTAAGTAAGCTGGGACAGAACTGAGAGATTAAATAAGTGATTTGAGGGGAGATGGTGGACACAATGAAAGAAAGATGTGCAGTTTGGAAATAGGACAATTATTTCCTTTGTACAGTCCATCCTGAAAAGCTTTAGTACAAGTCACCAACACTGACATGGAAGATAGGAAGTATCTACACAGATACTTTAGGGATAAATTGATGATCACTAGAGGACAGCTGACTGGCAGGTCTCAGCAAACGTGACCTAAAATTAACAATCACTTTCCTAAGGAGATTTACAAGAATAGAGATAAGGCAGAGCATGCTATAGTTCTTCATGGGGTTTTACAAGGAGCAATAGACACTCACTGGAGAATCACCTACCGTTTTACGATGGCTCTCCTGGCCGCGGTTCCCGAGGAGATTGCCTTTCTGAATGAGGCGACGGCCATCAACACACGCCAGAACCATCTGTGGTTCAGAGGGGAAATAATTCTCCTGTTGCTCTTGGAATGCTTGGTTGGATTTCCACACAGGAGACTCAAAAAGCAGATACAGGAGTTGGATTTTTTTTTTTTTTCCTTGTGGGGGAAAGGGGAGGAGGGTGGTTGGTTGTATTATTCTTTTCCTCAAAGATCTCTCCAGCAATATTTCCTGGTTTTATTCCTAGAACTTAGACAAGACAAAATTATTGCACAAAGGTACATGAGTGTGTTGGAGAGATCCAATTCATGAGTGAACACTGTGTAAGGATATCTGGGCATTGAAGGAATGTGAGGAACTATATGAAAGACAGTCATCTTTCTTTACTGGGGAAAGGAAAGTTATAAAGGAGAAATTAAGATGTACTAGAAATTGCAAGTGAAGAAACAAAACCAGATTTTCTTGACAGCATAATCATTATCAATGCTATTTCAGCTACACTTTTATTTCAGTGTTCACATCATTATGTACTACAGCCTTGAGAAGTACCCTGTTGAGATGCTGACCTTATAAATAAAAATAAATAAGACATGAAGCTAAATTTCTGCTATAAATCCAAATTGAACTCTTTTTGCAAATAGAGCATCCGGGTAAACATTTTCTGGACTTGAAATTCATTGGATGGAGCTCAGAATGTTTCAGTTGGACAATAGATATTCAGGAAAATCTCAACGTAATATACCTTTTCAAACCTCCAGCTGAATTAATGGTTCCACAGCTGCTTACACAATGAAAATTTCATACATGAGAAATGCCAGGAAGTCAACTCAGAAGTCCTAGAATCATGTCATATGGGATAAAAAATTAAAATAAAATGCATGCTATGGGACTGAAAGATAGGTTTACACTAAAAACCTAATCTGATCACATATCTGTTAGTTTTACAAGAGTTCATGATATTCCCCAAAACCTTTGAATGGAAGGGTAGCTTTAAAAGTAGTACAATTTCACAGAAGTCCTCAGGAAGCTTTGCTCAGTCTCTTAGCAGGGATTCAATCTGTGGTTTCTCTCCTGCTGTATTTCTGTTTCACCCTGGGACTTTTCACACAAGCAGGCTCTACCTTTCCTTACAAGTATTTTCCTTTCAAAATAAAAATCAACATCCCCAGATACTTGCCACAAGTACTTGCTTTCAGGTACAAGGCTATAAATGTAGTGCCAGGACTTAGCCCCCATTCACACTGAACATGTACTGACCTTTCCTGGCTTTCTTTGAACCACGAGGGCTCTTTACAAAAGCTCTCCCGCAACTGGGAAACATCAAGCCAAATTCTGCCGTCACCGTGTGTTCAATTAAGAGCACTTGTCTGCAGGAGCTTGTTGTCAGATTTATGCTAGTTTAACAGAACAAATCCTGTCCTCGGCATAATCAGAGTTCTAAGAAACAGCACGGCATTTCCCAGTAGCAACAGACAGGCTGAACCTGAAAAAGGACAGATGGAAATTGAAGTATTTCAAGTTTGGAATTATCTGTCCAGAACTGAGAAGAGATACCATTAATAAAAAATTATTCAAGGGTATTTAAGCAGACTAAAGTAAATTAAGCTAAGCTTATTGCTAATCATCAGTGAATTCTGCAAATTCCACTCTGCCCAGGAACATCAGCCTTTCTGCAGTTACCATGTTCCTGCTGGAGGCTGCAGTCAGAATCTTTTAGATTGCACTGTAATTCCTCATTTGCTGTTTAATTTCTTCATAGATCTAGATATTGCTTTTAGTAGTCCGGATGTTGAGGCTTCAAATAGAAAAATCTTGGTTGGTACTGAAGCATGCAGCATACTGAATTATTATACTTCCTTCAAAAGATGAACTCTTACCAGGCACAGCGCTCATGTTTTTCCACAAATGACATGACAGCTTTGGTCATCGTATTGACCACATTACTGAAGCTTAACAACTCCAAAAGACAAATACCAACTTGATTTTATTTCTAAATGACAGTAAGTTCATAGCATGAGAGAGGCACCATGTTTGGGAGATACTGCAATACACAGGACCTTCAAAAGATGAAGATCCAAAAGGAGACAAGCTGGGATTTCCCCCATGATCTCACATGATCCTGTTGAGCAGTATTTTATAGAGGGCAGCTCCAAAAGTGCCATTTCCATTTCATGCAACTCAAAGCCTGTACGACAGGCAGAAGTGACTAACAAACACTTTTAAAGGTGTTAAAGGAATTTATATGACAGTGCTGCAGAGTGGTGACAGGACTTAGGGTGAAGCTAAGCATTTTGGAACCTGGAGAATCCCAACCCAAATCCACCCAGGTCCATTCACATTTATATTCCACTGCCACCAACTATTTTTTGTGGAAAAGGCCATACCTTTAAATCTCAAGATAATGTTAGGAATCAAGTTTTTAAGCCAGTAAAGTACCTGATGATGATCTTGGTCTGTCTTCATAGACTTACAACCTGGGTGTAAAGCAAATTTCTCAGAATTAACAGGTTTCGAGGCAAGTATTTAGATATGGAACCCAACTGACTTTATTATTTCCTAGCATCCAGGCATTTTAACAATTCTTCCTCGTTAGCACACACAAGGAAGCCTTTGTCAAGTTTGAGTACAAAGAAATGAAATTACGGAAGACTAATCTTGCTGGTGTGCCAACGTGAACACTCACAGCAGAACAAGTTCAAGTGTCCTGTCAACATTCCTCTTAATATTGAGCTTCAGTGTAACCCCCCCCAATACCTATTATTTCCATAAAAGGGTAGATGAAAACAGAACAAAAAAAAAAATCAAAGCACAATTCCAGATTTTCAAAGTGTTTCACAGAAATTATACAGACTATTAATAAATCAACATGTTTGCTTCAAGATATGATTAAGAAAAAACATTGGTTTTCCTACCATTTACTTACTAATGTGCTGATCCACCTAATAAGAAAGCAAGGGAGTTGGTAAGATTATGCATTTGTTTGTTACTTTCTGTACCGCAGTGCAATCATCCCCTCTCTTCTGAAGTCCTTGCAATTTATTATTCAAGGAACATCACAGACTAATGGTCCTAGTTAATAGGAAAAAAGTCTTCATACTAAACTGAAAAAAAAAGGAGAAGTCCAAAAAGAGCTATTGAGAGACTTTCTGAAACAGGTAAAACATTGTTTTAGACAAAATAACACACAGTATTTCACAATTAGGAAGTTGTGTCAACAACAACAAAAAAAGCTTCCTTCAGCTTGGATTTAAGATTACATGTAAGCCAAATAGATGTTTTCAAGTGTTTTACGATCAAGGCTCCAGCTTGAGACCGTATCAGTTGAAAGCACAGGTGGACACCAGTTATGCTCAGAGCCCACTGGTCCATGTGGTTTTGTTACCCAGCCCTTCCACACAGCCAGGGTTTACAGGATCCAGTCTAAGGAGGCCAGAACTGGTCTATGGAAAAACCACACCAAAACTAGCTTTTTCCTCAGCTGGGCACCACCCCAACCCCACTGCCCTCCCTGGGAAGTAGGTACCAATGAATCCAGAGGCTGGACTGGTTCTCTGCCCAGCTCTTCTTTTTAGTATTTACTGAATGTACGGGGTTACACGGTCAAGCCATCTCCATAAAGAGCTCTTAACCCTGACATCAGGCTTCCAACCAGGGGACTGATCATTTTCATTAAGACCCAAAGAAAACAAGGTGAGTGGGGAATGCTGCATTCTGATCAGGGGGATCTCATGCAGTGACCTTCCCTGGCACAAAGCATCTGCAAACCAAAAGCAATAGGCTTTCTGGCCAACCCAAGAACTGTATTTCTGCCTTTGTATTAACTAGTCCGCATTTGTAGCAGAAAATGTCTGCAGTAATTCATTAAAAAAGAATTCAAGTCCCAGTAGTCAAACCACAGGTGTATTGCCCATTAATGCCCACCCTACGGAGAATACATTCCTCTCAACAGAAGGTACGTTCAGAAGAATAACACTCATCTTGTAACTGAAGAGACTAAATAAACAGGTAACAACAGCACGGGGAGTCATATCAGGACATAGTCCAAAAGATCGTATCTTTTAAACTGAAGAGTTTTAAAAAAAAATAATTAAGAGAGCCCACTCTGGAACTCTACTTTGCGGCCTATCCCTTCAGGACATGAAGACAAACCATTTTCAGAATACATCAAATTTCAGATGGTCTTTAAGGCACCGTTTGCAACATTTATGGGAAAGGACATGTGAAAACAAAGTGTATTGTAATATATTAATACAGCTGGGAAATTGTAATTGAATGTGAGGTTACAAGAGATGTCATCTCCCTCTTTTCTCTCCTTTTGCAGGGCTTCTCTCATTCCATTTGACCTCATATTCCATCCCTGGAGGAGTTACATCAAGACTGGATCCCCAATGCCATGGTCTGGGTTGCAAGTGAAGGAGATGGTGATGGCATAGCGAGTGCCCCAGTGGACCTTTTCCACCCGATGAAGGTTCTCTGATCCAGAGGTGAAAAATGAAACCCGGCCTGTAAAGACAAAGCATTTAATCAGCGGCGTGGAGTCTGGCACTCAGCTATCAGCTCTCTCCACAGTTCTGCTGTTGTCTCAGTTGGACTGTGCCCCAGCTGCCCGAGAGCCCATCGGTCATCACAAAGACAAACTGTTACCAGCTTATGCTGCGCTCTGACAGCTTTATGTACTGTTTAAAACATACATTAATCCTTTGTGCTACAAAACTGGAGACGTAATTCCACCGTATCTCATAGTTTATAAAAGGCAGGAGGAAGCCGAGAACATCTGAAGCCAGTTCTTAGTTGCCTCAAAAAAAACAAAACCAAGCAACTCTAAGTGGCTGCCAGCAAAGTGCATTGATTTCCTCCCTGCTCCCCTTCTAGTCTGGGCTCTAATTTAAGACCAAAGAAGGAGGAATTACTACCAAGGTGGCAAAAAGTCTTCAATGACAAAATGCTCAGCAGGTTCACAAGCAGCTATGGCAGCTTACCAGCTTTGTACCAAGTATTTGCTATAGCTTTTTGGGCACAGCCTGATCACTCACTGTTCAGCCAGTTAGAAAAGTACATATGGGACATATCCAAATTCATTTTCCTTCAAAAGAGCCACTCCATCAGTGCATTGGCTTAGAAATTGTTTTATAGATGTGAGTGCTCACTCCTGTGCTTCATCCTCTCCAAGGGTTGACCACCACCCACCTGGTTCTCCAGGCCTGACGTGGCATCAAGGTGAAATGCAGTTTCTTTGGTAATGACAGCAGAGGTCCATTAGCATCCCACTGGATGAAACAGCAGAATGGAGCCCTCTGCACCCTGACATGACTAAACTGTTCTGAGAACACAGAAGTTTGACATTTAGCACGTTAATTCAGAACTGATGCAACTCTGTAGGAGTTCTCACATTCTCCTGAGAGAGCCAGTAGTACTCAGATGCACAGCTGGTTTAGCCCAATAACTTCTGGTTTTCCCACTCAGGCTTTTCCCCCCTGTTCAAGTTAGATTGAAGTTTGTTAAAAAGCTTATCATAGAGAACTCCCATTGACAATCTAACCCTGCCTGGGACTCATTCACAATCAGGCAAAATGAAACACTTAGATGCCTACTTAAAAAGTTGTACAAGAAAAACTGTTCCAACCATTATGTGATCTCCTCTGCAGAAACAGGCACCAGACACGTAGCTAGTTTTCTGCTCTAGAATTGATCCAAAAGATCCAGAAGTTCTTTTGCTTGCACACTGCTAAGCAGCACATGGGAGATTTGAACAAAACTGGACTGGCCTTACAGAGCTCAGTTTGCCCACTGACCTCCAAGGTCCATTTGAGCAGCCCCTGTGTCCCTTGCACGTTCAGCTGCAGATCACATTTAATCTCTCATAGTTCACATAGTCTCTCATAATTGCCAAGCAGAAGTCATATCATACTCTTCTCTGCCTCTGGCTGCACATCAGTAACTGGTAACGCTATACATATATATATAAAAGTAGATTCATTCATACACACAGCTCATTTACACCTTGGTGTCCAGCTTTCCTGAATGAAAGGCTAAATGAAGACAATGTCCTCCTATCCTATTAGTGTTGCAATGACCAGCGCTACCCTCAAGGATTTCATACCAAGTCCCTTTGTCATGAGTTAATTTTTTTCCCTTTCAAATCATATTTCAACATCGTTCAAGTACTTTATTATCAGTCCCTCAATTACTCACCCAAAGCTTTGCCTTAAACTGGTTTTCAAGCTTTTTTGTTTGATCTCGTTAGAAAAAGTAGTAATTCAGAGTTAGACATGTTTCAGTGTATTGTTTAAGCCAGTTAAACTGGATTTTTTTGGCTATACAGAATGTCTTTTAATTTCTTTCTTTAATAAATATGTCTTCATATATATGGCATCTTCTAGCTCCTTGTGCATGTGGTCCAATATCTGTCAACTGGGGTCTTGGAGTCACTGAGCAAGCCTACAGTCACTTTTCAAAGATTATTTTCAAGTGAGGAAGAAGTGCTTCTTTTAAACTAACTTCCATTGCAAAATTTTGAAGCAAAAGCACACTCTCTCCATGGTACACTATTTTAAATAGTATAAATGTCCAAAAAGAGGGTAAAGAATGTTAATTCCCATTCCATCTGACAAAACCTTTGAGGAATATTTGGCAATATCATTTTCAGTTAAAATGCAGCTGTACCATTACCAGATGACCTGTAGGATGTTCAAGCACACTGAGACTGGACCCTTCATAATCCTGCTTCAAAACACAATATATGGAAGCCACTTAAAAATTAAATCAGTACAAGAAAGCAAGCAGGTCAGGTCTAAGAAGGTTCCTTAAGAAAGCATGGACCTACTCCTAGGTTATAACCCTGTTATGTCCTTGTTCTACGTGGCTTTTTGATCAATTTTGAGTTAAGATTTTAAGCCCCAAAGTTCCAAAGTATGAACACATTAGCAAGTTAGTGGGATCATATGCAATATAGGCCTAGTTTTAGCTGTGAGATTGCATTCAGTGTTTAAAGTGCACTTTAAGTGTTACTTAAAATTTCCTGATGAAACATTTGAGTGACAAAGGCTCCGGAGAAAGTGTGTAAAATTCTAAACCCATTTCCTTTGTCCTTTTCTTTCATTATTTAACAATAGCCTCAAACAGGTCTTTTCCTTTTCTTCTCCCCTCCTCCTACCTGCCTGCACAGATTTCTTTCCAACGTGCTTTTCTGCTCCGCTAAAGAAATCCTGCCTACCACCTCCTAGCACATAATTTCAGTTGGATTTATGAACACTTACTGTTAAAAGTATAAGCTTTTTTTGAGATCACAAGCTACTACCCAATCCATTTTCATAGCATATTATCTAACCAAAAAAGAGAAAGTGTTTAATCCCTGGTCCTCAAGGGATGAATTTTTAGAGAGGAAGAAACAGAAAAGGGATCACTGCCCTGTTTTGAGGCTGATACTTCTAAGCTTTCAGAAAGAGGCCAGTGTCTGGGCTATGTTCTGAAGGATGAAGATTGGAATGGAGTGTGCTAGGGTTAGAAGTGACGCCAACAGTAAAAAAAAAACTAGAAAGACTTTGTTTTTTCCATCTATAGTCTGAGAAATATTTCATCCTGATTGTGAACATTTAACTCATTTTCCCCAATCACTGCAAGGTGCCAAAACCTCCATTGCTTCTTTAATTTCACTGCTTTGACCAGTACCTGAACCTCAGGGAAGAGTTTTAGATCCATAAATTACTTGAAACCATCGGGTGCCCTCTCACATCTACTATCTATCATCTCCTCATCTCCACTTTCCATTCCACAAGAAGTCAATCGGGCACAACATCCCACAGCAGTAACTGCAGCACACCACAGCATTTAGTGCTTTTAACACTTGGGACAAACAGCCCCCATGTTAGATAAAAAAAAATACATTCTGTGGGCACTTCTATCCATGCTCTTTTGTCTTTTCTGCCCATAAACACTTAAATTTTCTTTATAGCTGTTCCCAAGTGGCTTCAAGATTTCCATCAGGCTGTCTAGTATCAGGGAGTAAGCTGTGCTCCAGCCCAATTCCCATGAAGAGTGCCACAATGGACTGGAGGAATTTCCTCCCACACAAATGCACTTGTTCTCACCTTTCTTATTAGAAGAGCAAAACAAAGAATTCAAAAGATTTGCAGCGACCACAAGACCTGGAGGAGGCTGTTTCTGAATGATTAGCTGGCCTGCATATCTCTACAGGAACAGAAATAATCAATCCTTGCCTTTGATCTCTCTTTGACAACAATACCTGAAGCTACAGCTTGTTTATTCTTCCTTTCCATGTTTTCTCTACTAGAAATGATGTTTCAAGGTGGAGTGTGGTCCAATAACAGCTCAACTGATGAGCTTCTGTTCCTTGCAGACTGCAGGAAGTGTTTGTGATGTATTCCCTCCCCTTTCCAGCTCACAGGTAACACCTTCTGCTCCGTTTCCCTACGGAGATTACTCACAAGTCTCATCCACAGGTGGAGCTGCTTCTCATTCCCTTCTTTCTGTGGCCCTTAAGCATTCACACAAGTTTTAAAAAATTAAGAGTAAACAAAGGCTATGTTATATTGGGCATGAAAGTAGAAACGTCATGGAAAACTCAGGTGCAAAGTCATTTAAATATGCCACTCAGGACGAGGAACCACTAACAAGCTCAGCACCACAGCATCCATCAAAACTGAGCCCGGTCTTCAGTGTCACAGACACAGGTCAAGCTCTTAAAAGCTGTCAGACTGAGAAAGGCTTGTGATGTGAAAAACAGGAAAGGTCTCGCTCCTCTTACAGGGAGCACGACCTAAATTGTATTAGAAGTAACCACTTATTCTCCCGAGAGTCAATTTTTGCACTGACCCACGAGAATCATTATTTATAAAGACATACAAGTGCCAATCACAAACTCCACTGCTATGAATTTTATGTGGTCCAAATTTAGATGAAGGAACACCCTTATTTTCAGGAATAATACTTAACAAGCAGCAGCAGCAATAGATATTTCAGTATGCAGCAATTATGTCCCATTTAATTACTCAAACCAAACCACTATATTAACTATGTGCTTTTGCTTTTCCCTGCTTTTGCTTGTTTTAATTGCATCCATAACTGCCCCTTTTAGAAATGAATTCTTCAGTACTCAGAAAATATAGCCACTGCAAGAAGCAGAATAAAGGTGAGAGAATTGTGCATTCAGCTATATATGACAGTAAATCGTAAGTATCCCTGTAAGGCTTGCTCTCAGGAGGTTTTATCCATGAATTTTAACATTCAGTTGCACTTCCATAAACAAGCTGCCTACAATTTGCTCTCTAAACCCTCTACTGTGAGGCAGTATAGACTGGAGGAATATAGAAAGGGAACAACTTTCAATGACAACTCTGCCCTTGACATGTAACTGTGACTTCAACAAAACCACTTACTCTCTCATTTGTTTGTGTCTAAAATGAAGTTAGGACTGACCTATTCTAGCAAGGTTACTGTTGAAATTAATTAGTAAACGCCATTATGGTACTTTGCAGTTAACACACGTTCTGTTTCACAAGTATTATAAAAAGAACCCCACTCTGTTGTTGTTCTTCTGGCAAGAGAAAAAGTAGTAAGGCATGCCAGATTAATATTTTGTATGGTTCTCAGAGTCCTTTCATGTATTTCCTACATCATGTTATAAATTAATGTACCTCAGTGCTTGTAAGAAAAAATACTACAAGATTGTTATGCCTCTAATATTAGAAATTCATTGCATAACTTGGGTTGGAAGAGACTTTGGGAGGTCATCCGGTCCTATTTCCTGTCTCAAAACAAGGCCAACCTTTAAATTATATCCAACTTCTGAGTGCCATCAGGTTGCTCAGGGTCATATCATTAGCACACACGAGTGCAGCACTCAGATCCTGAGGTCCCTCAGGTCTGTCTCAGGCACACATGGTTTGCTACCTCTGTGTCTCCTCTGCCTGATTTCTGGGCAGGGGGCATGGAGGAGGTGACATCCAGAGGTCCCTTCCAGCTGCAGTTGTTCTGATTACACATGGAACAGGGCATTCACATTAATAGCAAGTTTGGCAATCATTTTCTGGTTGCAGCATGCCTGTTTCACAAGCCCCTTCACATGATACTACTAACCCCTTCTGCTTTCCTGGCAGCATCCTTCTGGCCCTTCTAGCTTAATCCACTTTCAAATTTCCTTGTAAACTCCTCAGGTCATGAGGACAGCAAGGAGAAACCACAAATTATGTGTTAGATTGTCTCAGCCACTCAGTCATGCAAACAAGAGAATGGTAATTGTCCCCTCAGTGTTCTCCTTGGTCTGCTTAAGCTGTGGCTGGAAGGGGTGCCAAGCAGGGCTGGGGGGAGAGGTCTCACCCCCATCACTGCCCATGGCAACAGGGTGGGGGGACTGGGAAGACTGAGCTGCTGTTCAGAGGGAAATGAAGCAGCTCATCTGCCTGATTAAAGGGAAGCAGGAACAGTTTATTTGGCACTCCAGATCTATTCAGCATCTTTCATCTTGTGCAGTGACAGCTTTGACTGCTTAACATTTATCCATTCTAAATGTTGCTCAGGAAAGAAGGAAAAACTGCATCTCATCTGCTGAGTGACACCAAGACAGAAGCACTGCTGAGGAAGCTGCACAAACACATTTGTGTTCTCGTCCTTGTCACTTATTGAGGAAGAATTAGCAATTAATCCTAATGTAAAGTGTCCAAGAAAAACCACCATATCATTAGGCAAATAATCTGGTAATAATATTTTCTGTAATTGCACATAAAAGTTATTTAAAAGATACACTTATTCAATTACTTATAAGTAAATGTTGAATGGGGAGAGCTTTTAGCAAGCCCTTAAACAAACCCCACAAAAGTGACATGGAATGACAGCATCTGCGAGTGCCCTGATCTGGGTGAAAAGAGGGCAATTTTGCTACATACACATCAAGCACAGAAGCATAAAGAATCCTATGGTCAAAAAAAAAAAAAAAAACCACAAACACTTCACTGGGCATCTAATGAAACTTACAGACTTGTCCTGAATTTATTTACTAGACAGAAATTACTTGCTGTTATAAATAAAATCACAGCTTCACGTAGCGAGTTCTCCCACAGCCAACTTGTCATTTGTAGAAGAACTACCAATCCTTTTAAAAGTACTTTCTGCTACTTTAAATTCAGAAGCACCTGGACCGAAAAGTTCCAAATTACAGTTTTTAAAGAAACTAAGTGAACTTAATTATTTCCTACTAAAATTACATGAGCATTTTTAGAGTTCCACAGAATCCCTGCCTGCTTCTCTCCCATCAGCGCAGTTGGTTGCTCAAAATAACAGGAGC